TATTATTAAAATACGCTACGAAAGCTTCAATTTTACTTAGTGCACTTGTTCATCTTTCATAGCAAAGATAGGTTACGTGAGTTCCTCAAAATAGTATTGTAAAACGTATAAAAAATTTTTATATCAATTGTGTAACGATCTTCAAATTGATGGGACGGTCGCTCCTGGAGGTTTGTCCACCATGCTGGTTAACCCGAACCCGACCCGAACTCTTCGGTTCAATTTTTTTCCAACTCGACCCAAAATTTCGGGTCGGTTTTCGAGTTGACCTGACCCGATTAGGAGCACTAATCATAAATCTAATATACCAGTATATCTTATCTGCTATAGATAGAAGTCAGTTATAAAAGCGTCGTGAGATTGAATACAATGAAGACATTGAAAATAGTATAATATCTAATGCATTTCCAAAGATCATCACAGACCAAAATATTTACTTGATGAGGGTAACCTATATATAGGACACGAAAATATGTCAAGATGATTCAAGAGATGAAATAGAAGAAAATTTTGAAGTTTTGAGGTCTAAGCTCGATGTAAATATTAGAATATTAATTTTTGATATCACTGCCTTGGCTACGTAAGCTTCGCTAAAATATGTCATATATATTAGAACCCTGTGCGAGAAAAAGATGTGAGCCTTTATGGTTCTCTTAGAACAAACCTAAATAATATTGATACATCGGAATATACTTGGAGAGACCCGAAAGCAAGTAGTACTAACAGACGAATCGAAAATAGTACAATAGTTGGGAAAAAGACAGAAGCGTGTATTTATGGTAATAATAGCTGGTATTTTGGCTTAATTAAATCAAACTTACATTATTAGGAACCTCGTGAAAGTATGAAATGCGTTCTTCCCAATTCTGTCATATCTAAGTATAGTGCGTTCGTAGAAAATTTCCGTAACATAAATGTTCCAAGAGATATGGGAGATATTATTCATAATAATTTATGGAAAGAGAATGAATTTGAATTATCGAAAACAGCAAAACGGATTTTAAACGTACTGTAAGTAATTTCACTATTTTATTTTTAAACTATATTTTTAAGACATTTTTAACAACGTAATTTATGTAAATT